TCTAATCTCTCGTTAATTTGCATTTCAAAAATAGTTTTTTTTTGTTTAAACATTTTGAGGATTTCCGATTACGCATTGACAATCGTGATCTGTCTCTCCATCTCCCTTTCTGTCTCTCTCTCACTTCTCACTCTCTCTCACTCTCCCTCTCCTCCGCCGCTTCTCTCACTCTCTCCCCTCCTCCTCTCCTCTCTCCTTTCTCTCTCCTCGCCGTCCTCACTCTCTCTCTCTCTCCACTCTCCCTCCTTTCACTAACAATCTCCCCATCTAGATCCCCTCCAATCTCATCATCTCGACACTTCAACATCATTCGTCAATCCATCATCATCATCTGCCCTATTTGAGGGGAGGGCAGAAGAAGAAGAAGAAGGCAATTCTCTTCTATTCGACAATTCATCTAATTCCCTTCAATCGAGAAAAGAAGAGACAGTAATGCTCAAATTTCTGAAGAAGGGCCAAGAAGAGTCGGCAGCCAGAGACAGTCGTCAGGGCGGACAGACACGTAGGCTAAATTTACATACATTTTTTGTTGTTTGTTGTCTATCGTCGTTGTCGTCGTCGTTGTGTCGGGCCTTTTTTACGTTAGGTATTATTTTATATATTATGCAAAATACCGTACTTTTCAACCTAAGGTGACCCTTGGAATTTCATAATTTATAAGTCGACGGATTTTAAAGGTCTATAAGTTGCTGTTAAATACTTTTTTAATTTTAGAATACTCTAAATAAACCGTGAGCCTTACCCTTTTATTATGAATTAATGGCGTAATTGGTTAATACTGTAGCCCTAAAAAATTCGAATTTTATAGCTTATCGAATATCAAATTTCGGGAAACATTAATTTAGAAATCCACCAGGGTTGAAAAGCCGCTTCGCGACTTTTCAACCCTGGCCCCGTCTCGGACCCCATACTATTCTCCCCTTTGCATAATTGTTCTCCATTCAATTAGAAGACAAAAAATGAAAACAACCGTTTCTGCCTCTTTATATAAGCGACCACCCACTTCCGCTCTATGCTAATTATTCGTAACAAAGAGGTTTTTACAAAAACCTAAATTTAATAGCGAAAATGGCTAATTTTTAAAAATCTGATATGTGTGCAGTCATCTCCAGGCCATTGCGCACCTAATGACGTATCATACGTAGCCTAATACCCGTCCCTTCTTGAGATATCCTCCGGACAGACAGACGGAAGTGGATGCAAAGTGGCACACACACACACACAAACACACAAACACTATTTTTTATATATAGTAGGATTATTTGCTAAATAATTTCGTTTTGAACCTCGCCCCCCGCTAACAGTCAAGTACCGGCAAACCACGCTAATTTTTACTGCCGTAACGCAACGATTTGCGAATTAAAGATCTTTAGAAAGGTCTTGCTCATTTTTCATACTTTTCCTCTTCCCCCGCCTTTTAAAAACATAAAAATAGGTCTTATCGCTTTTTCAAGTTTTAAATCGGAAATTCCGGGAATTCCGGCGATAATCCCGTTTGTCACTTCCTGTTCCGGTTAATCCGGATGCGAGGTTTTTTGGGGGTATTGGGGCTCTGGGCAGCGATGGCTTGGGCTGTGATGGAGAACATGGGACCCAACAGATATCGGTTCGTTGTGAAGGAATGCGTTGACAGGGAAGGAGCACCGGCACAAGGAGCACGAGAAGGAGAAGCTCTGCCATGTGTCAATTCCCTTGAGGGCAGGAGAGAGATAGAGAGAGAGACGAACGTTCCACTATCTCTCTCTCTCGCTCTCTCTCTGTCGCTGTCTCTCTCTCTCTCTCCTGGTGTGGGCAGCTGTCCACAGGCACTCCCCGTACATCACCCCTTTTCTATAGAGAGGCTTATCTCTTCTCTTGGCAACAATCCCTCACCTCTAACAGGTCATGCTAATTACCTTCTGAGCAAGAGCCTCGTACTCCACGATACTCCTCTACACCGAGAAAATTCGCCAAAATTGACTCTAATGGTCCAGTCCTTTCACGCTCCCTTTAAACCCTCGATTCGAGCGCTAAACGACCATTTTAAGGTCAACCTGAGGCTACGATAATTAAGGTAGTTCCTCGTAGGAGCGTAACGGAATTTATCGGAATTACTGTATTTGGAATTACCGAAATCCCGTCCAAAGGAAAATACGTACCGCTAGTGTGGGCAGCAAAAGTTTGGCATTACCGTTCGCCGTCAAAAGGAGCGGAACGGAATCTGTGTACTGTAAGCTACGGCAACGCACGATAAACCACAGTATCCGTCGATTTTTGACAAGCTGCTGTATTCCCTACGGCAATAGGAATCGCGCAGAATTTGGTGCAACTCGGAAATTCCGGTCAGCTACGGTGCACCGTACGTCTAAAGAAGGCTAACGGATTCCGGCTGTTAGGGTTACGGTAACATCGAATCCTTCACGATACGCGTCAAAACGGAGCGCTGCGTACTGTTCGAATCCCTCTAAGCGGCTACTGTATCGGTGCCCTTTTGAGACCCGGAAGTGCGGTCGGAATCGGATTGGGCCGAATTCTCAACCTCTTCTTTCCATTCAAAACCCCCGAGAATTCGAAATCCACCCGGTTGAAAGGTGGCCCGAGGGGGAAGGTGTGAAGAAGTGGTCGTCTCGAGATCTCCCTTCCTCTCTCTCTCCAACCCGCCAATTTTCGTCGGATCTTTTCGAGACCCACCAGAAGCACAAGAAGAAGAGACTCACACACCCAGATTTCAGAAGACGTCCGCCCAAAAAGGGGTGAGAAGCGGCCCCCTTTCCCCTTCGCATAACCCATACATATTTGAGTGTGTGTGTCTCTGTCGAGCGTTATATTTCTCTAGCCTATCTCTCTCGTTAGCTCTCTCTCTTTCTCTCTCTCTCTCTCTCTCTCTCTCTCTCTCTTTCTCTCTCTATAGCCCCCGATTATGGGCTGCTGAGACTCATCCCCCACCCAGCCCCCGGCCGCCAGAGCCGATTTTCTCCGAGACCACCTCAACTTTCTTCTTTTCCAAAATATTCCGCCTATCGACCCATTTTGAAATTGGGTGGCGATAGGAAGGAGACGTACTCCTTTTAAATCTGGCCCTCCTACGCTAAAAATCGCTTTTTCTACCGTAGCCCGGGATATTGCCTGTCGTAATAGCTAAAACGCGCAGTACCATCCGGCTACAGTAGCCCAGGATTACCTGGCATAATCGACTGGCTGGCTGCTAGTGGTGAAAGCGGTCAATTCGGAAGAAACCTCGCTATAAGGCTCTATTCGGCAATACCGTAAACTGCGGAATTACCGGGCGTAATCGGTTAAACCTCAGAGAGGGTCAAAGCAAAAACCTCCTTAAAAGGGCAATTTCCCTCTTACCGTAACCCGTAAGCTGATTTATCTGGCGTAATCGGTTGGCACACGGGAAGAAAAGGTCATAAAACGCTCTTGCCTTCCGTAATCGATTCAAATACCTGTCGTAATCGGTTAAACTCGGCACCAGTGGCTCCAAAAATCAACATTTTCCAATAGTAACCAGTTACCTGACCTTCCAATTACCTGACGTAATCGATTAAGCCAACGAGCTGAATTACCCCTCGTAATCGGTTGGCACCCGCCTGCTTAACCCGTCGAAAAGTTGCCAATTAGGGGGCTAGGGCACCCGGACTGAAAACTGATACCCCCACCCCAAAAAGGCCCAAAAGGAATAACCGAAGAAACAGACGACAACTCGGTTATATTCCGCACGATTCCTATCGACACCCGTCTATCCATTTGACAAGGGTTGTCCTCCTCCGTCGTCGCGACGGATGCTCGCGTCGTCGTTCTTTTTCGGGAAAAATGTGAGGGAGAAGAGGGAGAAGGAGATCAAAGACAAGACCAAAGAGGAGAAGAAGGAGATCAAGGAGTTTCGCTCGGATTTTGTGACGCCCGCATATTTGGAGTACGGTGGGTCCATGGTGTACGTTTTGGTACTGTTGACGTTGATCTGGTTAAACCGTTACGCTATGCATTTTTATTTTAAGCCGGTCATTTTCCGTACATTTTTCGCTACACAATTCCTTTAAACCCGCCAAAACCCCCATCACCTTTTCCGTTTTATTTTTACTTGTTGAGTGCCCAGAACCGTTTCGCAGTTTCGCGGCGGAAAAAGAGTGGTAGCAGGGCACTTAACACTTTCTTTTGGAGTCGTCTCTCTCTCTCTCTCTCTCTCTCTCGCTTTCTCTTGCTTGTCCGGCGACACTCAATGTTTCTACATTGGGCCCTCAAAGGGCCCAGGTCGGCTGAAATCACCACTCCGACGAGCTGATTACGCCATGAAATCGGATGGATAGGCGGTTTCTAGGCCAAACGAGCAGGGATTATTGAGGAAATCGGTAATGGAAGCGACGATTACGGTAGAATTTGTCAGATTTAAGGAAATAGCTTTTTCGGTCGTGGTAGGCTAGCAGGGATTCATAGGGATACGGTAGTGTAGGTCAACTTTTATCATATGGCAGAATTTGCAATTTTGGTTCAAGAGCAAACTAGCAGGGATCTATTGAGAGTTCATTTACTGGCGCCAGGATTACTGTCGTATTTGTCACGTTTTAGGGGGTCAAGCGGGAGATTAGTCAGATCTTTTGGTTCCTGGTGCAGAAAGAGAGAGCGAGAGAGAGAGTGAGAGAGAGAGAGATTGTCTACGCCCGGCCTAGACTTTGTAATCCTTTTAATCAATTGGCAAATCCCCCTCGGGGCTGATCAGACCCTCGTAATCAATCGAAGGAGGCGAGAAAGAGTGAGAGAGGGAGAGAGGGCGAGAGAGAGAGACGCATGGGCGGAGATTTTTGTGAAAAGCCATGGGATGGGTGGGACCTAAGCTTTTGGGTGGCGCCGTGTCGGATTTCGTTGAAGACAACTGTCTCCCCTGTTGCTCTCGTCTCTCTCTATCTCTCTCTACTCAGCTGTGGCCACTCTTCCACACAATCTATACCTCCCTGATTTTGCCACATATTTATTGATACTGCTAGAGGAATCGATATTCGAGGCAGTGTGCCATCTAAAAGATGCACGCCGTCTGTCAGGTGGATGCTGTCGGAAATTTGGTGGCCGTGTCGGCGATGAATGAATCGATTACGGGTAGATACACTTGACGGGAAGACACGGGGAGCCTGGTTAGGACTGTCACCATCCCTTTAAAATAGACTTTCAAGGCATTGGCCAGCCAAACCCCTTTAAAAATAGTCATTAAATGGACAGGGAATCGAAAAATCACTCTTTCTATGGTCGGTGTAGCTCAAAATTACGCTTTTAAAGGACCATTAAACCCAAAATATCGAGTTTTCTCGTAGCCTAATGGATAGTGGTGTTGACTCCCAACTTTAGGGTCCGGGTTCGAGTCCCGGCCAGGAAGATTTTTTTATTTTCCCTATTACTCTTTGCTCATATTCCCTGACCAGGCTCTCCCAGGTGTCCAGGGGTGTTCTTCGTTGTACTAGAGCTTTTTGATGATTCTCTAGAAACGAGCACGATCAAACTGCCGTTCGCCAGTTCCTCGAAAGATCTCGCTGCCCAAGATGAAGATGACGAAGAGGATGAAGATGAACAGTCCGACAGTGAATATTCCGATGAACCTGACGGTGACGTCGCGGTGGCCGTGTCATTTAAATTGGCGCGAAAACCGTCGAAGGGGAAGGGCGGCGGAGGACGGAGTGCCGCTTCCAGCCGCAAGACGTCTATTGCCTTGGACCCCGGTAATTATCGAATTTCTGAGCGTAATTTGTATCCTACCGTACTCTCTACCTACCGTAATTTTGCGGATTTTTAAAACGTCAATATTTTCAATTTTTTGTGGGTTTTCCTGAAGCTTCTAATCGATTACGCGAGTCAATTAATAGGCCGCTCTTTGCAAATGTACAATTTTTGTCGCGGAATCGTTTTAATCGATTTAAATGAAATAAATTTGAGAATTTTTTATCAATTACGGTAGTAAATTCTAAAATTTTCACGTTTATTATCGTAATAACCTTTTAATTTCGCTATTGCTGGATTTTTCATGCCATGATCATTTTTACCCAAAAAAATTGAAAGTTTGGCCCTTCTAGCCAATTACGGTATTTAATTCCGATTGTAACTTTTCCATACAGTAACCTTTCAACCTTTACCAGAATTCGAAAAATCCTCCTTTTCTAAAAGATTGAATAATTAAATCCCTCATTTAAATGAATATCTTCTTCGCATTTTCATTCCGTGACCGGTATTTTAGCCAAAAAACTTAACATTTGATCTTCTTAATCGATTACGCTGTTTAATTCCGATTTATCTGAACTGTCGTTTTTCTTTTCGCAGCTTCATCCTCAATTTCCCAATTTCCACTCAAAACCCGAAAAAATTCCGGGCGATTCCGAAATTACGGCCGGCCGTCGCCTGGGGTGTCGTTTGGAGGGGAGCGGAGTTTATGTTGTGAGAACCCAGATGTCACACTCATCGGCACTTCCCGAAATTTATTGCATTCCCCGGGAAATCAGCAGCAAACCTTAGGATCTCAACGGAAATTGAAACCAGCGAAATTTGGGTAATTTCCCAAGTGTCACCATCCCTTTAGAGGTGACAAATAAGGGCCCGTCATTTGGAGGGGTTCGTAGCTGAGAGGGGGGTAGGGGTCGGACACACGCACAACTGTCATCCTCCCCTCATCACCTAGGGAGGGGAGATGCAGAAAGAAACATGATTTCGCTCTCTCTCTATCTCTCTCTCTCTCTCTCGCTCTCTCTCCGGAAGTTGCCAGGGGGCACGTTTTAGGGGAGATAGATACACAGCCTCTCATTCTCCTTTCGGGTGCTAAGGTAATCGGAAACCGGGCACTAAATCCGGGCCGGAACCTTGGCCTCGGGTTGTTTTTTAGCTGGAGAATGAGGGAGAGAGAGCGAGACTGAGAGTGAGAACGAGATTGAGAGGATTAGGAGCACGAGAAAGCCAAGACAGATACAAAAAACATGCAAATTCCCGAACCTCTTTCTCCTATTTTTCCTCCTGCTCCTGCTCGTCCTACTGCTCCTCCTCGTCCTCCGCCTCCTCCTCCTCCCGTCTCCTAAAATGCAGATTGGATACCGGTTGCGAGTAGGCGCGCCGTCAACAGTCCAATTCCGTCCTTCCCCCCACAGTTTGTCGGGGGGCTACCCGATTTTTCGGGGCGAGAGAGCGAGAGAGACAGACGAGACAGAGAGAAAGGGGTAACAGTGTCCCGGCTGGAACATACCAGCCACCCAAAAATAGCCCGTCCGAGCCGAGTATTGAAATGGAAAGGGCGAGAGAGTGAGACATAGAGAGACAGATAGAGTGAGAGAGAGTCACATATAGAAATCCCCTTTTTTGCCCTCCCCCTCCCCCCAGCCAGCCAAGCGATTTGTCGACCGGTAGAGCGGACAGATAGATGAAGAGAGAGTGAGAGAGAGAGAGAGAGAGAGCGACAGTCAGTACGTACCCATCCCATAGACAGTCCCCAGCCATCATCCATCGAACTACCCGATTGATTGTGTCTGCCCGCTCTCTCGCTCAAGGACCTGGAAAGTGCCCGGAGGGCATTTTGCATGGAGCAATTCTGTAAGTAAAGCCGTGGATGTGTCTGGTTTTCTCTCTCGCCCTCTCTCTCTCTCTCTCTCTCTCTCTCTCTCTCTCCCACCTCCCGTTTTTCCGCTAATGCATTGGGAATTGGTGGAATTAGGGGGGCCGCAACGCCCGTCTGGCCAAGGGTGTAGTTTGTAGTCCAGAGGAATAGGTAGCTTAAAGGCTGCTTTAAAACAAGAAAACCGGAATTCCCGAAAAATTATGGCTGTGTTGCCCTTCACAAATGGTCTCTGCTAGCCTGCCCTCCCTCTCTCAATTCCCAAATGGTCTCTGCTAGCCTGCCCTCCCTCTCTCAATTCCCAAATGGTCTCTGCTAGCCTGCCCTCCCTCTCTCAATTCCCAAATGGTCTCTGCTAGCCTGCCCAAGTACGTAAAGTCGTACGATATCGTAGCGTTGGGGCTCAAAATTGGGGATGTGGGGCTCAAGTGGGCCCGCAATATTGTTGTGACCCGAGGCTCGATCTCGAGACCGAGGTTCATTTGTTGTGGGTAATGTTCTCTCTCTCTCTCTCTCTCTCTCTCTCTCTCTCTCTTTCTCTTTCGCTATCTCTCACCCCCTAAGGAGGAAGAGGTGGAGCAGGAAGCTCTCTTTTTCGAGCGAGAGCGCGGGGCTAGAGAGTGAGAGAGACTAGGGAGTGAGACTCCTCTCTCCCTCTCTTTCTTGTTGTGGCCTATAGGGCCCCTTCTCTCTCTATTCTCTTTTGGGCCCTAGGGGGCGGTTGCGTCGCGTGGGCCCTCTGGCTGGGCCCCTTCCCCCTCATCCCCCCCCCCTTCTGCCCTCCTCCAACTCGCCATCCCCCTCTATTTTACCATCTGATGGCGACCGCCACCAACAAGAAGGTGCAGATCAAATTTTGTAAGTGCCCATATTGCGGGGTGAACCGCTTCAAGTCGGCTGACGCTGCAAATGAAGTTTTTGGCGCAATTCCAGCTAGATATTTTCTTGTTTCCTTTGCTGTCGCATTCCTTTTAAAATCTTGTCTGCTAATGGATATCATCGTTTTTCCGGGTTGAACTGCTCGAAGACGTCGAGAACTAGACTTTTGGTTTTTGGACCTTTTGGCTAGATTTTTCGGCTTTTTCTTGTTGTCACTATCCCTTTCAAAACTATTGTCTATTATCATTGGTTCCGGGATGAACTGCTCGAACTCGACGGCTTTTAATGCATATTGTTTCGGTCATTTTGCATAGATTTTTCTACGGCATTTCACCTTTCCTTTGAAACTTAGCTAGCTATGAATGCGCCCAATGCCTTAAAATACGCTGAATTCCTTGCGGCTACTATCCACGCCTCATTGTCACCATCCCTTTAAAATGAACTCCGGGTTTATATTAACCAATTACGCCATATATATTACGATTTTCAGGCTCGTACTAATTACATCTCGTAACCGTTTCCGTCATTTAAAAGCTAATTTAATTTAAGCATTTCAAGGCGTCTTAACAAGGCGTAATCGGATCCCAGGCTATTTTCCAAAAGTCGGAATTTTCGATTTTAAGCACCCTGAAGATGAATTTTGACAATTTTTGAGCCGCACCGCGTTTTTGGCCACTTGCCAGACTTAAATTTTATTCTCTAGCCAGGCAGAGCTCCTCACTTCCTTGATGCTCCTCGTGACGTGTCACTCTTTTTCTATAGCTCTATCTCTCTCCGTCCCTCTCTCTCGCTCTTTCCTCGTCAAGAGGAGCGTCTCGTACTCGGGTTGTTGGGGCAGAAGCTGCTGCTCCTTCCTCCTCCATCCAGGGCTCTAATTCGATTCTGGGGCACACATCGCGATATAGGCCCCCCACACGGGGTGATAGACAACAGGCGAAAGAGTGGGAGGAGAGAGAGAGAGCGAGAGAGAGAGAGACGGACCAGGAACGGCTCTTTAGAGCTCTAAGAAACGGGATTTTTCGAAGAAATTTGACTCCAAGTTAATTGCCAGTGTTTATTAGTGCGTAAAGCCTTTCTTCGAATTAGATGGCGTAACTCATTAAATTATCGAGTTTTAGCACACAAAGAAAGAAAACGAAATATTTCATTAATGCGTCTAAACTGGACCCTAAAAAACCACTAAAACTACCCCCTATTTACTAGCGTAATTCATTAGGTCTAACTAAATTGGATTTTTTGTATTTTTGTCATTCCTGTAATTACATGTCGTGTACTGTTCGTTGTATCGTCGCGGAAAATCTGTGTTAAAAAAAAGATAATACTTTCTCGGTTTATTTTTGCATCTTCCTCAAATCGCAAATTTGTACCGCAAAATTTAACAAAAAGAATAGATACAGTAAAATAGACTAAATGTGAAAATCTGCCAAGTCTTATGCTAATTTCTCCGTTTTCAGTCAAAGACTTCCTCGACAAGGCGCGGGATGAGTTCAAACAGCGGTGGGAGAACCCGGCACAGGTACGCTGGTTTTCGGGGATATTTATGCAAAATAGGGCGGGGTATGGTAGTTTACAGTTACGTCCAGGGTGCATCTATTTAAGGTTGAAATTAGCCGTATTTTCTGGTTGTTTTGGATTTTTAGATTACGCAAATCGAGAAATGTTATAGTTTGAGATGCTGTTAAAGCGAAGGTGTTGCTCTGTATATCTCTCTCCTTCTCTCTCCCTCTCTCTCGCACTTTCTCTCTCTCTCTCTCTCCTCCTCTCTCTCTCTCCTTCTCTCACTCTCTCCTTCTCTCTCTCGCTCTCTCTCGCTCTCTCTCCCATCTAAAACTACTTCCTCCTCTCCCCCTCCCCTTCAAACCGGCAATTCATTTTGTTGGCGGGCTTCTCTCCCTCCCCTTTCTAAAAAATGGGGTGCCAGAATCGATGTGGAGACTCTGAGGGTTCAGAATATATTTAGAGGGAGACAAAGTGAGAGAGAGAGAGAGAGAGAGAGAGAAGAGAGACGTCCCGACGAGTCTAATCCATGATTGAGCTCGGCTTAGAATAGGGCCACCCACAAAATCTCGTAGAAAATGAAGAGAAGGGGGGCATGCTAGCAGAGATCATTTGGGACTGGTGGAAAGCTAGGAACTTGTCTGTGCCCCTTGAAATCACCGGGCCAACGAGCAGAGATCCTTTAAGAATCCCAAAAAGTGCTATTTTGGGGTTTGAGGAGCCGGAAAAACTCCCATTTTGGAAATTAAGGCCAACCCCCGGGCAGGCTAGCAGCGATTCTTGCGCACGCCTCAACAATCCCCGCCACTATTTTTATGGCAAGC